CATCCTCTTTTTCCACTTTTACTTCTGCGGACGGCACACTCTTATTCTCCACACCTTCACATTTATGAATGTGGGATAGTGTGCTTCTGTACCCACATGGTTCAAAAAGGCAGAAAATGACCTGATATTGCTACACAATATTGTGCCTACATTGCCAGCAGGAAAAAAAAATGCCAAGCTTTACATACTGAAGAGCAGCCTGAATGCTGACAACAGAAATGGCAGCAATCAAAATAGTGTACAGGATACCATCTGTTGCTCAATACAATTCACAGCAGTCAAGATAGTGTATAAGATATCATCTTCTGCTCACTACAATTCACAAAGTGACACTATGCAAGGGAAAATCAGAAGCTGGGTCCTTTTTTCATCAGTTAACTACTTCTTACTCAAACACAAAGCAATTGTTAGGGCTGTTTTTTAACAAGTGTGAATGGTAGTGAGCAGAAGAGAGTATCCTGTAGACCATCTTGACTCCTGCCATTGGTTTTGTCAACATTCAGGCTGCTCTTTGCTTTGTTTTTACTGTATTCCATTATATTTTATATTATTCTAGGCTGCCCATATATGACTCATAGAGGTTCATTTAGCCACTTTTACAAATATTTTGAGGCATTATTAGCTGGTCCTCTTTTTTTGCGTTTCTCCTGAAACAAGATCCTGTACCCATATTTTCCCAAAGATTTGTGACAAACCAGGAAATAAAGCTTTTTGGAAGATTACTGTTCTGAGGGGCAGGTGGTAAGCTATAACTATCAGAGAGCTTTATCTACTTCAGTTTTCCCTCTAAATCTATCCACTCCTTCCCCTGCTGTCCACCAGTGTCCTCAGCACCCAGACTTTCTCTGGGCTCACAATATTTGGCTGTGTGTTAATTTTTCCAGTCTGCATCTTTCTCTACCTTTATGTTAAGGTTATTAGAACCAACTAGGGTTACTATGCTATGTCCTACTGGCCTGGTACACCAATCAAGACTTTCTCCTCTCTGGTAATACATGTACTGAAGAGAAAACATCAGAGGGTATATTTAAGGATTAAAATCTGTAAAATAAAATCTGTAATTCTGTCATGAATTTGGGATTTGAATGTTTGAGCTGTGTTCCGTTACTTTAAATATAACTTATTCCCCAGACCATTGTTATCCATTATCTGTTGTTTCCATGCCACATTTTCTCAAATGATTTTTCTGTCTTGCATTCACTGCCACAAACACACTTGCAAATTCATGTAGGTGTGGGAATGAAAATGTCAATAAACTCTGCAGCAAAATGTATCCCCCTGAATGTTGTTACTGCCTGTTCATATGTTTATATGCTCTTAACCTTATAGCAGCAGCTTGTCCTCTTGCTAGTCATGTTCTTCCCTAAAAAACTATTCCCACTCTAACCCATATAGGAAGAAAGCAGTTTCCCATTTTACTTTAATGTTATAACTGCATTATATCTACTGCCACTCTGGTATGTCATGGGTAGGCACACCATTCTTACGCACAATATGTCAGAATGAGGGAAGAAAGATGTGCTTTCTGTTCTCATTTTGATTTGAAATTGGCACAATAGTATTAAAACAGGGACAAAGGCAAGACCACATTCTTTTGATCAGAGCAAGAATGGTGGTGGAGGGATGCTCTGTAGCAGAACTGAAATGCCACTGGGAGTTAATTGATGAAAGGAACCTGCTCACGTTTTGCCACAAAGGAGTGACTGATGTTAGAAATACAAGGCAGAAATCACTAGATTACGTTGTTGTTTTTTTTTAAGTAGGGATCTTTTGTGTTCTGAGTAAGTAACAATTTCTGAGTCTTTTCTCTACATATTTCAGGTCATGGGCCCTTGTCACAGGTGTTTAGTTATCTGCATTGATCAACAAACCGGCCAACGGAACAAGGAATTTCTTCAGAGCCTGTCTGCCATTAAAGACAGAAAGGTCTGTATCCAAACATGAGTTTTACAAATTGTGACTTGATGGTGCAGTTGCCCCCTTTTCCCAGTGGTTCCTTCTTCTTAAAGATAATATGCAACTGTGACATGCCCCTTGCCTGTCCCTGGATTATTTCACTAATCTAAGGCTCATGCCACGTTCCTATTTATGCTGCCACCAGTTGATCTCTGTCAGCATTATTTACTTGGAAAGACTGAGGTCCATACTGCATGTAACTTTTAACAAAACCAAGTTTATTGAATACAGTTCAAATGTTGAGTTTCACTTTAGTAGATTCCTAAAAGACATTAAAGATTTCAGTAGTTTTATAATAACTTATTCTACACTTAACTCTCTCTAACACTCAACTACTTTTCAACTGCCCACTGACTATCTGCTCCCTCTATCTGCTTCGACCCTCCCTTTATGTTCCCCTGGCTCTGCCTCCCAACAGTTCTTATTGGTGCATGCCGATACACTCATACATATGCATAGGCAGGGTGATCACTACAGTAACCTTGCTGGATTAAACAAAAAATCCAAGATGGATTGGATTCTGTGAGGGGTGTGTGTAACCTTGCTGGATTAAACAAATAATCCAAAATGGATTGGATTCTGTGAGGGGTGTGTGTATATATATTAATTCATACAGTGTTTGGAGTTAGACTAATTCCCACTTTATTTGTGATTAATTAATGTTCCACTGAAATCTGTGGGGACTTAGTATGACTGCAATCTAAATTGGACCCCAGTGCAAGTAAATGAATGGACAAATGGAGATGATCATACAAGAGGCAAAATAAAACTTTAAATAAAAGAGAAACAAAAACATTGTGGCGCCTTACAGACTAACTGCTATATTTTAATGTGAGCTCTTGTGGCTCAGGACCAATTTCTCAGCCTTTTTTGTTGAGTGTTGCTTCTTCTCTGATATGCTTGCACAGTGACTGCTTCAAAAGCTACAAATGGAGAATAGAACTGCTCAGTAGGGAAGTGCATGGGACTTGGCAGAATTCAAAATCACACTGGCCGCTTTGGATTAATTCTGATGCTTCTGAAAGGTTAAACGGGATTCCTCTGTCTGACTGGATCCCGCACAAAGGCAGTGTCATTTTTAGAAAGGCAGGCACTGTTTCCAAAAATAATTTTCTGTGAAAATGCTTGCGTGTGGGAGATGGTGGGGAGGGAATGTGGCTGATTGACTGACAGGTCCACCTTCTCTAATCATGGGGCCCACTCTACTTTGAGGCTCTTCCATCTCTGAGCTTTGGGGAAGGAAGTATGGCTCAGGCAGAAAAGTTCCTCTTTCTTCTTCCATGATCTTTTGGCCTTCAACAGAGGGGGTAGCAGGGGGAAGAGAGTGAAAGTGTTTTGGTGCTGGGAATTTGTTTAGTACAGTGCTTCCCCAACCTTGTGTCCGCAGATTTTCTTGGATTGTGGTTCTCAGAAATCCTGGCCAGCACAGCTTGTAGTGAAGGCTTTCAGGAGTTTTCATTCAGGAACATCTGGGGACCCAAGGTTGGAATGGTGGGTTTAGCAGATTTGGTGGTTTACTTTTACTTACTTAAATCCTTTACTCCTTCTTTCCTGGTTCAGTTCCTCCTCTCCCACCTCATTAAATTGCTTCCTGTTTTCTCCTGCAGCATACATAATCTTTCTGTTAATTCCTTGTTCTTCTTTCTCTCATAGCCTTTGTGAATGTCTTCTCTGTATTAAGCACCTGGTTCCTGTTTTGTACAGAGTGCATCAACCTTTTACCTAGTTCCCCCGTCCCCCCCAGTGTTCTGCAAAACTCTTGCTGTTGTCTCTTGGGCATCTTGTGTGTCTCTTTGTTTGCATATTATTAGGAGAGGTTTCTCTTTACCTTTCCCTAACCATATATTTGATTTGGAATTCCTATTTCATAACCTGAATTTGTTTGAAGGCTGTTTTTAGAAACATTGTTATCATTAATAATAATATTATTATTATCCTATTTTTCCCTAATCCTTCAAATCCTTTTTAATTCAAATTTTTATTCTCCTTCAATATTTTCAATTTTGTTTCATTTCTTGTAATTTTTGTATGCATTCAAAAGTTGCAAGAATTTTATTTTATTTCTCTATTTTATTTGTAGACAGAGCTTTTTATCTCCCTACATTTTTATTCTGTTTCTTTATTCCTACTGACTTATCATGAGAACAGGTCTCTTCTCTGACACATATACATACCCCTTATCTGCTCCTTGTTCTTTCATCATTTTGTTTCTAGCAGTTTCTAATGTGTAGGGAGAGCAGGTCCCATACTTTCCCTTCTTCAAGCACCATTAGACTGTATCTCGACTTTGCCATAAGGCAACTCTCCATTGATCTAAATGCAGGTTCCAGTGCCTGCATTTGAGAATGAGTTTTCGGGGACCTGGCACTTACATTATATATTGTGATTTTGAACATATCATGAGAACAAAACAATGGTAGAAAAAGTGAAAGGCAGCAAGGAAAAAAAGAGGACGTAACATGAGATATGCAAAGTCAGTAAAAGACTTCACAGCCTTTCATTCACAAGACTTGAATAGGACAATTAATGACAGGATCTTTTAGAGATCATGAAATCATAACATTGCAACATTGCAGGTTGATGGCACATAACAACAAATATATAGTAGTGATGGATTTACCAGTCAGCCACTCATTCAGCCAACTCTTTTCTTTGTGGTAAGTCCCAGGATCACCTACTCTACAGCATACCTAAGCAGTGTGAATGAGATCAGGATGTAACTTATTTTGTCTAAAATGGGTTTTTAGTTATAAAACTTGAAATATTCACCTTTCATGTCCTATTATTTTAATCTCTATAATCTCATGAATGGAATTAGTTTTATGTTTTTCTATGTGAGTAGATAAATACTTGAAAGGGCAGATTAATGTGATGTTATTTTTTAGGGGCATCAATTACTAGTAAAGTTTCTCTGTGTCCTTAATAGGCTTTACCTGAATGGATCTAATTATGAGCCTTCATATTACCTGTGTTTTTAGAGCAAGGATACATTTTTACTTCTTTCTTGGTTTTACTTGTTTGATTTATTTTTACCTGTTTCTTCCCTCTAGTATATTAAGAGACTAATATTTTATATCTGCATAGTATCGCTTCTGAAATCAGATGGTGATGGGTAAAATTACATAATTTATAGCACAACATTCTACTTCATTTTTAGCTTCTTTCGAAACATTGTATTCTGATAAGAATGTCCTCGAAGTCAGCAAGCAAATACAGAGAGTCTAAGTGATTCATTTTAATATCTCTGCAAAGTACAGCCTCAAGGTTGAGGGACATCATTATTTTTAAAGCTATGAGTATGCGCTCCAATATTTTGGGAAGGGGCGTGTTAGGTTCAGTCAAACTTGTTTGGGGGACCAAATAAGGAAACAGATTTGCAAAGTGTCCTCTAGAGACATTTATTCCTAAGGTGGTTCTAAACTGCAACCAGTCACAGAATGCTCTTAAAATGTGATGTGAATCAGGCTTCACGACATATTTTGCTCGCAGGCATGTATGGACTAGCTCTTAAACTGCAACTCAAATTCCTCCAACCATGTAGGTAAATATATTTACTCAAATATATGTGTTGGAATAAGTATGCATATACAGATTTCAATGTAGATTAACAATAGTCTTGCCATTCCACTTGTCCTGACAGAGATGTATGTTTCTGAATGAGGAGGTAGAGTTCCAAGATTTTGTACATCTCTGATCAGTCAGCAGTTCAGATTGAGACTGGAGCCAAGAAATAAAAAAAAAAACCTAAGACCTAGAAGGGCAGCAATGTGGAAGAGGAAAAAAAAACAGACACTTAGTTCCCATTGTAATACAGTGATGTACTGAAGAGATCACTGTCCACGCCACCATAGGAGATGAGTGCAAATGGCGGTTTTGACAAAAATAGGTGTTCACACACTCCTGAATACAGAAAAGGGTGATCCGAGTGTAATCGGTATAAAATAAACCACTTCCTGCTGGCTGAACAAAAAGAAACAAATGCCCATGGAAAAAGACCAGGCTTCCCTGAGCACAGCTTTTTTTATCTTTTACTTGTTGCTAAATACTTTGATTTTAACAGTACCAAGGCTGACACAAACTGCAAAATACATTTCAATGTAATAAAAACCCTCAATAAAGGAAGTCAAGGCCTTGTATTTTCAAGAGCTCAGAAGGACTGTTAACAAGAGAACTTTTCAGAGGTTGCTAATTGATAGGGTCTCCATAAGTCAAATTTGACAGCCATAATAAGAACATGTTTCTAGATGCCTAATTAGTTGTCCTTCATCTTACAAAAAATTAAAAATTGCAACTGGTGCAAGTGTCTGATAGTAAGAGAAATTCTGTTCTGTCTTTTCTCCAAGTTGCTACTTTCTCCTCTGTGTATCTGACTAGATTTTTATAGGCATACTTCAAGCCCAGTGTGTCAGTCTGCTTCTGCTACATATTTTTAAATCTAAAAAAAGGACACAAAGTACAGTTTAACATGGATGCAATTCTTCAAAATGTGTGAGTGAATTTATATGCTTATTGCACTTGATTCCAGTTATACTTCTAGTTTTTTTTTTACTGGTAGTTCTCAGTTCAACTAAACCTTTCTTATGTCATTAACCTGACACACTAATCATCTCGAAAGTTTATTCATGTACTAACACGCTGATCATTTCTCAAGTTGCCAAGCCAAAAAACCAGAAGAGGAGGAAACTGAAGGAAATGAAACCTGTCTCTCAGCAGCAATAATCAGTAGGTTGAACATTACAGCAGCACAATTTATATCCAAGTATTGATGGATGTCAGTAGAATTTTTCGAACCAGATGAGCAATATCCATATTTAAGGCTTTGCTGGGCAACCCACTGTGAAATCAAATCTCTAGTCTCCACTGCAGTTAAAGTTAGCATCCCTTCAGCCTTCCTTGCAAGCTCATTAAGTGGCAATTGGGAGATATCATTAGCTGTGTTAATAAAGCACTTGAAATTTATCTTCAGCAGA